CCGCGTCACCGACGGGGCGCGCCAGAGGATCCTCAAGACCGGCGGCCAGGTCATGACCTTCGACCAGCTGGCCCTGGCCGCCCCCAAAGGCGAAGGCACCGTGCTGCTGTCAGGTGAGCTCGGCCGGCCGCGCCCCCCTTTCCGCCGCGCCCCGCTTTCCGCCCGCAGCCCTGACCCTCTGCTCTGCGCTCCTCTCTCCCCCAGGACCCCGCAAGGCCCGCAAGGTGTACAGGCATTTCGGCAAAGCTACCGGGACCCCCCACAGCCACACCAAGTGAGCCCCGCTTTTCTGTCCGGGCTGGGGGGAGGCGGGGTGGTGGTGACGTCCGTTCCCTTGAACCCCGCGGTGACCCAGTGTGAGGGGTCCCCTCGGGGTGCTGGCACGGGTCTGGGAAAGTGGGAGTCAGTCACCCCCTCGAGCTGAGCTGGGGGTGACGGACAGGGGCAGCTCGTCGCCCCGTGCGCGGTGCTGAGCACATGATGGCGCCTCGCCGATACTGGGGCGAGCGTAAGACCAGATCTCCAGAACCTGTACAGAGCCGAACCTGGCTGGTCCGAGAGCCGGTCGTCGGTGATCGCGGCGAGTTGTACGGTGACAGATTTGTGACAAACAGTACAAACAATAATGAGTCAAACGTCACTCCTGCTGAGCCCAGTGTGTTGAATACTGCTAGCAAATCAGTGAGATAACATTAATAAAATTGCTCCAGAGTAATACAACCTAACAGGAAAATTGTTTAATGATTAGATATTTTTGTCCTATAGAAAATGTTTAGCAATTGCATTTCAAAACGTATTTAGCCAGAGCTAAGAACATGATTGAAAACTAGAAACACCAAATAGAAAACAAAATTGGCATCAAAGCCAGATGATTTTCATAATGGACAAAACAGGTCTGCAGTCTGTCTGCAGTCTTGGGTTAAGTATCTGATTGAAAGATCTCCAGCCTCTCTGCTGAAGTGAAGCGTATATAACTGGGACAGAACTGTGGCGCAGACTGGCGCCCACAGGAGTCCAGCAGCCCTGATCGTTTACCCACAGTGTCCAAACCAGAAGGGTTCTGTTCTGCTGTTCTGTTGCGGAGCTGTTCAGCAAAGCAGCAAACAGGAGATCTGCGACGTGGATCTGTTCTGTGCTCATGAAATATTTGAAAGTTTTATTCATTGGAATGGGTAATTAATCACAAGAATTTTAAACAAGCTCATGAAAATCTGAAAGCAGACCTGTGTTGCTGGGGTGAGCGCCCGTGTGGGACTGTCTGTGCTGACCCCTGACCTCTGACCCCTTTGCTCCCCGCAGGCCCTACGTGCGCTCCAAGGGAAGGAAGTTCGAGCGAGCTCGTGGCCGGCGCGCCAGCCGTGGGTACAAGAACTGAGCGCCTCTGTCCGCAAAGTCTGGGAAATAAACCTGCTTGTCACACAGCCTGCCTCTGCCTCTCTCTGTGTCTCCGTCTCTCCGGGGCTGGGGGTACCCCAGAGCACACGGCGCTGCCAGCGCCCCCTCCCGGCAGTGTCGCTCTGAGCTCCGGCCCGTGTTGCACACTCGTGTCCGCGTCCTGTGGGGGCGGGATCTGGGTGCGGGGCGGACGGACAGGAGCGGTGGGTATCGGTCTTGCGGCCGGGGGGCGCGATCAGTGGTCGAAGAGGAGGCAGAAAGCCACAACCCGCGCCGGTTCCCGCAGGCGTCGTGTCTGCCGTTTCCAGCAGCGGGACGCGCCAATTCACCCGTGGGGGAGACGAGCGCTGCTGCTGGGGCTCAACCCGTTCGCACAGAGCAGCGGTACAATAATACATTCGGCAATATTGTTCACAAAGTAATGACTGCGTTTGGACGGGCTGTTACCGCGGTTAAAGGCGTCTTCTTTCTTGGTGGCGCTAAGCTTCCGTACTGAAGGGTCTGGACGCAGGAGTGGGACTTGGAGCCGGTCCACTGGAGGGGTGAAGACTCACTCCGCCTCAGCGCGTCCATGACTGACCGGAACCACGTGGCCAGTCCGCGCCCCGGACATGACGTCAAGAGCTCCCCGCCCCACTTAAACACACCCGACACACTGGAGACCGGTTACACACACCCGACACACTGGAGACCAGTTACACACACCCGACACGGGAATAACAATTTTAAATGTTACATTTGACATATAAAAGTCTATAACATTCATGCCACCTTGTTTTTTTGGTTTACTCAGAAGGTGTTTCCTAATATAATTAGGTTTATTCTTCCAAATAAAGTTGTATAATAGTTTGTCAAACTCATCAATAAGATGCGAAGGCACATTCAGTGAAAGCGAGGCGTACACAGAGAGAGACCCTCTGCTTTCGACAGTAGAACCCCACCTGCCAACGACAGGTCCCTCATTAACCAAGACTGGAATCTTTTTTAGTTTGATCTAAAATAGGTGTAAGTTTAATTTACATCTTTCATCTTGGTCTTTACAGACTATAATCCCCAGATAACGAACCACTTCCTTTACAGGTATATTCACTATTGCATCTAAATTAGAATCCTTAAGAGAAAACAGTTCACACTTGTCAATATTCAGACAGTCCTGAGTCTGATGAAAACACATTTAAAACCTCAATTGCTTTAGAGACCTCTTTACTATTCTTAAGAAAAACAGTATCTTCTGCTAGTTGACAAATCTTAATTTCTCTTCCCAAGATAATGATGCCTTCCATAATGCTATTATTAATATGAAGAGCCAAAGTCTGAGTTACTAATAAAAAGAGAAAAGGAGATATTGGACATCCCTGCCTAATACCTCTGCCGATTTCAAATCTCGGAGATGTCCTGTTATGAAATCTGACTGAGCTATTACACCCATTATAAAGAGTCTTAACAACATTCTGAAAATATTCGCCAAAACCAAAAAAATTCAAAACACTTAAAAATAAATGTATGTTCTACTGTATCAAAAGCTTTATAAAAGTCCACAAATAAAATATAACTATCATCTTCTATAAGATCACTATCTATCAGATCCAGAATTAAACGGATATTATTGCAAATATGTCTGCCTTTCATAAAACCAGATTGTGTCTCATCAATAATCCAAACCTTTCTTTAATCTATTCGCAAATATCAAAGCTAATAATTTTGCATCATTATTCAACATAGTTATATAGGCCTCCAATTTTCTAATATTAGCTTATCCTTGTCAGGTTTGGGAATAAGAGAGCTCACTCCCTGTTTCAGAGAAGGTGGCATTTCTTTTTTTTTGTATAGCTTCTTCAAACACACCAAAAAATAAATAAATTAACAAATCTTGAAAAAAATTACAAAATTCACTACATAAGCCGTCATTCCCAGGGGAGTTATTGTCTTTTAACTTATCAACGTCTATCTTTATTTCGTTCTTAGTAATTTGTTGATCACACTGTATATGGAATTCCTCATCTATAAATCTAGCGTCTCTTATGGAATGCAGGAAGACATCCATATCCGACTTGTTCTGTCTTGCTGAATATAATGTTTTGTAAAAATCAGTAACATATAAAGCTATATCTTTGAGATTATCTGTAATGCTGCCATTAATTTTTAACTTGTCAATCAATTTATATTCTAAACTTCTTTTTTCTAAATTATAAAAATATTTAGTATTTTCTTCCCCTTCTTCCAACCACTTTCTTCTTGATCGTATAAATGCACCTTCAGCTTTTTCTTCATAAATCTGATCTAATTGCAATTGCAAAAGATGCAATTTGTCTTTTTCTTCCTGACTGTAATCAGTGATCTGAGTTAATTCAATTATATCTTTAATAAGAGTATCTTCTTTATTTCTTTTTGACATAACTAGAACTTTGCTCCTTTTAATAGCTAACTCCCTAATTTTATACTTAATAAATTCCCAATAACTGCAGAAAGAATTGTTCTGTAATGCCTTTCCATGATAATCTTTAATAATTAACTGAGCATCCTAAACAAACTGGTCATCTTCCAAAAGAGTTTTGTAAAATTTTCAGTAACTACATTTTTTGGTTTTTAAAGATCCAGATGTATTAATCGACAAAAATATACCTTTCTGATCAGTCAAAACTGCAGGACTCATATAGACATCGGTAGTGAAATTCTCCAATTCTTTTGAAATAAGCCACATATCAATTCTAGACTGTTTAGAAAAATCTCGCTTACTCCATGAAATCTGACTTAATCCCAGGTTCAAACATCTCCAGATATCATTTGTGCCCAAACCAAAGCACAGATTTTCCAAATGAAGACTCACCTCTATGATTAACCCTTTGAGGCCATCTATCCAAACTCTCATCAAACACTGTATTAAAATCTTCACGCACGATTATTTTAGCTTCCGAAAACCTATTTTAAACCTGTTTTATACTATCTTCTAGTTCCGGAAAAATAAGTTTATTTTGTATTTTATTATTGGTGGCATATACATTAACAAGCATAAACTGTTTCCCCTCAATGTCAACTGTTAAAATGATCCATCTCCAAGAATGACGCATACTACTGTGAAGAATGTTCCCCTTAAAAGTTCTCCCTCAAGACAGCAACACCGGCTGAGTGATTAGTACCACTGGAAAGCCAAATATCACCCCCACTGATTCCTCCAAAAGTGCATATCCGATTGACATGCATGCGTTTCCTGTATGAAATAAAAATCAGCCCTCACTTTTTTACAAAACAAAAAAAACGCTTTTATTTTTATAACATTTCTTATACCTCTGGCATGAATAGAGAAACAGAACGAGACCTAATTCACTGACTCTGTCGTGTCCAGTGTAGCGGCCCAGGTGTGCGGCCGGTGACGTCAGCGCCTGCGCTGGGACAGCAGCTCAACCGGCTGGGTCCCCGTGGAGGGTTCGAGCCCCA